TAAAATAAAAAAATTATTTTTTAAAATCTTTGCATGGCGTAATCCAAACTGACGTTACTGATTTCAATAATCTCATTAAGATAGTAAAATCTATACCATTTGGACTTTTCTAGTTAACCAATAAGGTAGCCAGAAAACATTATAAACGTCCAATTTCTTCTCATGTGAACAGTAAATTCTTACATCCCATTAAGCAACCCAAAACATAATGGTGCCTCAAATTGGATTTCCTTACTTTCTGCCTTTTAAATAATTTCTTATTTGAAAATGCTGTAATAGGAACCTAATTAGCATAATAGTTGTAGTAAGAACATGTATCCATAATGGTATAGGTAAAGATAAATTACTTCACATACCCCTAACCAAAAGCATTATAAGGTGAACACATGTTTTATAAATAATTTCAATTAGCTACAAATTTCTTATGGCATCTTTCTTGGTGTATTTAAATTATTTTCCTTAATACAATCCACTTACACACCAATAAGATATCAATAAAATATAGGTTCAAAAGAACCTCATTCCTTATTGATCCCCCAGTTCTTTCTTTAAACACATTACCAGTCATTTATGCCATAAGAACATTAAATTTTAATTTGTCAAATAGCAGTCACTTCTAATTTAATCATGCGAAGTATAAAAAAAAATTTAAAGAAAATGTCATTATGCTTTAATTTTGTAAATCATTAATAGAATACCACAATTAACAAAATAGGCATTCTTTTAGAGACTGAAACAGTCATCTCCATTAATCCCCAAAAAATAATTTAAAAATCAGAAAATCAGAATAGATATAAGCCATTTGGTGAACCAAAAACAAAACCAAAATGAGAGAGGAATTCATACCATTGACATCAAACCCATCAAATCTAAATGCGTTCTTCATTGGTGCTCTAGAGAAAAAGCATATATAATCAAAGAAATTCCATTAGGATCCATAAATTAGAGATAGTACACAAATCAAACCTAAATGCTTTCTTCATTGAACCAAAAAGAGCAGAAATTAAAGCAAAAATTTCATCAGGAACCAAATATTAGAGAGAGAGAGAGAGAGAAGTAAAGAGACAACTTTTAGATTGTGAGTTGCTCAATGAGCATCTATTTTGAGAGAGAGAGAGAGAGAGACAGAGAGAGAGAGAGAGAGATTAATCCCTGAAAAAAAAATTAAAAAAAATTATAAAAACAGAATAGATGAAAACCATTTAATGAACCAAAAACGAAACCAAAATGAGAGACAGATTCATACCATTCACATCAAACCCATCAAATCTAAATGCTTTCATCATTGGTAATGAATCCACACGAAACTGAATTTGAATCAACAACCCATAAAAGAAAATCTAAGAAGGAATTTTCAACATGATAGTATATGATAGATAATGTGAGGATCAATCCCGTCTTGGATACACCTAAGAACCTTTGATAAATTAAGAAAAAATTGCTGGTCATTAAGTTCAGTATAGTTGAGAATAATGGAAAACAGAACAACCAAAAGTTTCAAATTTTACTAACAAACAAAGATACTGAATTCCAACTAATGTATATGAAAATTAAACTGAAATCCTACTCACCCAGATGAGCAAATTCAGAGTAAAGACAAAAACAATTGAATTTCAAGAGACCAAAATTTTCAATATGAATCAACAACCCAGAAAATAAAATCTAATAAGGAGACCAAAATTTTCAATATGACAATATATGATAGATAATGTGAGGATCAATCCCGTCTTGGGTACACCTATAAAACATTGTTGGTAAAGATGAATTCATTCAACCATCACAAAGGTAAAGCAAAGCCAGCAATACAATGAGAAAGAGAGGCATCAGCCGAGAACATTCGATTTTATTACTGAATATTGGGGGTTGTGTTCACCTAATTTTACTTTGTCCCAATTTTCTAGATCAATTTTCCACATTATGATACCAAATCTGGTTGCAACACCTCCCAATATTAAATTGTCGATGGTGGAGGTTTCAATTTTACTTTGTCCCAACTTTGTAGATCTATTTTCTACATTATGTTATCAGATGAGCAAATTCAAAGTAAAGACAAAAACAATTGAATTTCAAGAGAGAGTAGGGACTAACGATTTTGGATTGGCATGGTTTCCCGCAAGAAGAACAGACGCGGTTGAGAACAACTTCAGTAACTGAAACCCACATCAAGAATTAAAAATTTAGAAGAAAATAGAACAGGGAAATCCACATTAAGTAACTGAAATCCTAATGCAAACCCACAATATTTAAAGAAGCAGAAGATTTGGAACTCACTGCTTCAAGAGTTGGCTACCATGAATTATAAGCCTTGGGCTTGCTGGTGCTTTCTCTAATGGTGAATGATGTATAACCTCTCATGAAACATACAAAATTTGATGAAACCCACAACTTTAATGAAATATCAGAAATATACATGCATTAATACAAAAAAAAAACTGATGTTTTACCTTCAGTTACAGGGTAGCAGGTGTGGTGCGGAATGAGCAAGCAGGGTTTTTGGGTCTGACCAGTCTTTACACTGGGTGTTCCTGAGTGGTTACTCGCGAAGTGGATTTCTGAAGCAAAAAAGGATGCCAGTAAAGTGGAGGAAGAAAATATAAGTAACATGGTGGTGATGGGTTCTGAAATTGTGGAAACCACCAACTTCGTGGGTTCTGAACATGAGGAATTTTTTCTCCACGTTCTTCATCTCTTCTTCTTTGAGTCAAGCACAGCACAGCACGACTCTATTTTGTACAGCACAACTCTTTTTTTTCTTCTTTTTTTTCTTTTAAAACTTCTTCTTTGAGTGAAGCACAGCACAGCACGACTCCATTTTTCTTTTTTCTTTTTTTTTCTTTTTTTAAAATCAATGGTGTTTTACTATTTTACCCTCTTTTAATTAAAATTGTGTGCTTTTAATTTTTTGTTGAACGAAGGGCATATTCGGAGTTTTTGAATATTTCACCATTTCTCTTCCTTTTGCTTTATATATATAGATAATTATTATATGATTTTCGTACTTTATTAATTTCCTTTAATTCTTCTATCAAGGGTTTAAAGTTAGTGAGAAAAGCATTTGGCCAACATTTCCAAGACGCAGATGTCGATTATAACCGGAAAATGACATCGGTGATGCGCATGGTAGGGCTATACAAACCCTTTATGCTATTCAGGGGCATGTAAGTATGGTGTACTTTTGGTGATTATGTAAGCACATAGTTTTATAATTGCAACCAAACATTGACGTTAACGTGTTTGAAATGTGTAGCTTCGACGACACTAATGCAGAGGAGTTGCGAAGGGCAACAAGAGAGAGTTTCACTGACGCATACAATTTCTATTTTGATCCCAAAAGCATTGATTGGGAAGACCACTTCATACAAACTCACATTCCCGGCCTCCAAAAACATGTTCTGATAAAATGATAATTGAAAGTCTCCAAACAGCAGCTAAACACTAGTTACTTTCAATCAATACTTTTAGTCAAATAAATGTCTATGGTGGTGAGATAGGCAAATTGTTGTAATTGTGAAGTGCTGTTGTTCATTGTTTACTGCAAAAAAAATACGTCTTTCTTTTATATACCTGCTAGCTTTTGGAATAAAACAAAATTCATCCATCCTCCAGTACTTCAGATTTTAGGTTTTTGTTGGCTTATGTTGTATTTGAAGAGTATATTTTTGCTAACAGAGGTTGAAGATGAAGAAGAATCGAGAAGCTTCATGAAGATTTAGAGAAAAATCTGAGATTTCTATTATCAATTTTCTGAATAAATGTTGACACAGCAAAGATTACATTTATGCTACAGACTTAGCTTAGACACTTATGCAAAACACGAGAGTCTGTTCAAACAGGCTAACAACAATGCCATGTCATCTTATCCATTAGCCAAACACCCGCCCTCAATCTCAGCTGGGTTACCTAGTCTGAGATTACTACAATCAGGGCCGGCATTGGGCTGGAAGGGCGATGGCCATGGACCTCCAATTAAGGGTGGCCCAAAACAATTTTATATTATATATATATATACACTAGGCGTCTAACTTATACAAGATAAATAAATAAAAACAAGCTAAAATTAAATGAGAAAAACATGATTCCTCTTCCTAGAAGAAACACGCTTCCTCTTCGCCATGCTTTCCTCTTTCTAAAATACTTTGGTTCTCCTACTCCTAGTTTCTCCATGGAACATGCTCTCTATTTCATCCACCATATTATTCTTTGTTCTCTTGTTCTCTCTTCAATCTATTATTTTCAGTTTCTAACAATTTTTCTTTTTTGATCTTTGTCTTTGAGATTGATGGTGACCAAGAGGAGAGGAGCATGAGAATTTGAAAAGGCAATCAAATTTTTGAAATTTTCTTTATATTTTTTCCTATCCAGCAAACTTTTTTCCCCACCCTAAACCCTATATACTGGTCTCTGTTGAGTTTTATTCTTGCTTTTCCTTCCACAGATTGTTGTTGGGGCTTGGCCTCTGTGTTTTGTTAGGTGGTTTGTTGATTCTCTTTATTGATTTGAGCACCTTTTGGCCCAAAAAAACAAGAGCTACTTTAGAACTTATTGTCAAATAATACGTTGTTTTGTTGAATGTTAGAAGCTATCTGACTATGTATGGACCTAAATATGAATTTTATTTTATTTAAATGATTCATGTACTTTTGCGTTGTTAGAATGAAATTCTTATGTTTAAACCAACAAGAATGAATGAGAAAAGTTGTTTTTTCCTTTTCTTATTAAGTTTTATTGTATATTGAGAAAGGGGCATCATTTAATTCATCGCGTAGGGTCAGCCCTGGCTACAATTTTGTGAAAAGTGATAATTTGATGTATATTGCTTGTGTATTCAGTCATAACCATTACAAAGATATATAGCAAATTATACATAAACATATATGGAAAGAAGTAATAACTACTGCCTAAAATACAGGGATTGCTGGACTAGAGAAGGAAACAAGATCAGTCAAAGGTCTGCAGCAATCTACTCCTATGATTGAGATTTGATATCGTAACACTCCCCCTCAAGTTGGAGAGTGAAGGTTCAGAACTCCCAACTTGCGAATAATTATATTGAAGGAATCTCTTCCAAGTGGTTTTGTGAAGATGTCTGCCAACTGGTGGGAAGAAGGCGTGTATGCAGTAGTAATCATCCCAGATTGAATTTTCTCCAATACCAAGATATGTTTTGTACGCTCATGAAAAACTGGATTGGCTGCTATGTGTAGTGCAGCTTGATTGTCACAATGCAAAACAGCGGGCTCTTGGATATTGACTTGAAAATCTTGTAGCAAGTATCTCAACCAAATTATCTCACAAGATGCATGCGCCATGGCTCGATATTTGGCTTCAGCTGAAGAGCATGAGACAACATTCTACTTCTTTGTTTTCCATGATATTAGTGCGTCCCCTAGAAAGGTACAATACCCGATTGTAGATCTTCTCATAGTTGGGCAGCTTGCCCAGTCAGAGTCACAAAAGGCTGTCAGCTTTAGGTTGTTTTTTGAAGGAAACAAAAGTCCTTGGTCGGGTGAACCCTTTAGATATCGCAAAACTCGAAGTACTGCCTCAAGATGTGGCTTGCGTGGCCGGTGCATGAATTGGCTAAGTATATGTACTAAGTAAACAATGTCTGACCTGGCTACAGTAAGGTATATGAGCTGCCCAACAAGTCTCCTATAGTGAGCAAGGTCATGTAACAGATCACCATCAGTTGGAGTTAGCTTTAGCTTTTGCTCCATGGGAAAATCATATGGGCATGCTCCAAGAAGACCAACATCTTTTAGAATATCCAAGGTGTATTTTTGTTGAGAGATGAAAATTTCACGCTTGGATCTTGACACTTCAATGCCCAAAAAGTATTTGAGGTCACCTAGGTCTTTGATACGAAATTTTTCATGAAAGACTCCCACGAGAGATTTAATGGATGTTGGATCATTGCCTGTAATTATAATGTTGTCAACATAAATCAATAAAGTAGTGAAATATGAGTCATGTGACCTGCTGAATAAAGAGTAGTCTACCTTGGACTGATTAAATCCCTCCATTTTTATAGCATTGGAAAATTTGGAAAACTGGTTTCGTGATGCTTGTTTAAGTCCATATAGTGACTTGTTGAGTTGACACACAAGATTCTCCTCCTGTAGGCGAAAGCCTAGTGGAGGAAGCATATATACTTCCTCATCACGATGTTTATGGAGGAATGCATTTTGGACGTTGAGTTGGTGGAGAGGCCAATGTCGAGGAGCAGCAATTGCAAGCAAGCATTGAATAGTGACAAGTTTAGCGGTAAGGGAGAAGGTCTCATGATAGTCAAGGCCTTCTTGTTGAGTGTAGCCTTTAGACACTAAGCGAGCTTTGTAATGCTCAATGGTGTTGTCCGAATGATGTTTGATTTTATACACCTATTTGCAACCAATGGGCTTGTGACCATGAGGCAGGGACATGAGGATCCATGTTATTTTGCTCCAAAGCAGTAATCTCAGCGGTCATGGCTTGTTGCCAATTGGGGTCATGTGCAGCTTGATCATAAGAAGTTAGCTCTATTTGACCTGAAATAACAGCTAAGAAAGAAAGATATGCGGGTGATAGACATGCATAAGAAACAAAATTTGACAAGGGATAATGAGTACCTTTCATAGAATTTGGCATAGAGTCAGACAATGGAACCTGGGTATGCAACATATCATAAGACACTTTATAATCACAACGCCAAATAGGAGGTCGTGTAGGACGAGTGGAGTGACAAGTTGGTTCCAGAAGAGGAGATGGGTGAGCCGTCACCGAGGAATCCGGTTCTGTGGAGGCGAAAGCGATGGGAAGAGTTAGAGGAAAAGAAACTGGCTGTGGCAAGGCAAGAAGAGCGGAGTTATGATGGTCCATATGAATGGTGGAAGAATTATTAGATTCATCCACAGGAATAACAAAAGGTGACTCATCCACTAAAGGATGGGATTGCTCAAGATGCTGTGAAACATCAGGTTGATGAGGAAGTGTGAAGAATGGATTCATACATGGCTCATGAGAAGTGTCTAAGCATGGCAAAACAACTGGGTTTGGCCGTGTGTTACATTCAGAGTTTGAATAAGGAAAAACATTCTAATAAAAAATGACATCACAACTAGAAAAAAAATTGTTTCGTTGTGAGATCATAAAGGTGATATGCCTTTTGCCGTATAGGGTAGCCGGTAAAGATACAACGACTGGCACGTGAGTCAAATTTCTAGACAGGATGGACATTTGTGGCATAGCAAAGACACCCAAAGACTCGCAAGTGATCCAATGAGGGTGCACGATCATAAAGTAGTTCATAAGGGGACTTTCTTAACAACAAAGGAGTGGGCATGCGATTAATTAGATAGGTAGCAGTAAGGACACATTCACCCCAAAAGATTAAAGGAACATTTGAATGAAATCGTAAAGCACGAGCAACATTTAAAATGTGGCGATAAAGGATGCCATTTTGTTGAAGAGTATAGACACATGTAGTTTGATAAAGGATGCCATACTCCATAAAAAATGGGTGCATAGAAACGAACTCACTGCCATTGTCAACATGTATTGCTTTTATATCTTGATTAAATTGAGTACGAACAAAAGCATGGAAAGATTTTAATAATGGCTGAGTTTTATATTTGAAGCGCATCAAATATAACCAAGTGCAACGAGTATAGTCATCTACAATGGTTAAAAAGTAGCGTGCACCAGAATGAGAAGTAACTTTATGAGGTCCCCAAATATCACAATGAATTAAAGAAAAAGGTTCAGTATAAGAAATTGAACTTCTACCAAAAGGCAATCTAGTTTGCCATGCATAATGACATGCATCACATTGATGAGAAGAGTTAGAAGAAGTAGCTGGATTTATTTTAGTAAGTAATTGTAGGCGAGCAGGTGAAGGGTGACCGAGATGTTGATGCCAAAAATTTGATGAAGTGGAGATGTGATTTGAGGATGGGGTGAGTAGGAACAAGGTGAATATAATAGAGTCCGCCATGTTGTTTACCCAAGCCAATTGTCTTCTTCGTTGCCAAATCCTGCAAAAGACAAAAATCAGGAAAAAAAGGGGACACAACAATTCAGAGATTTGGTAAGCTTGCTAATAGACATTAAATTTATCCTAAAAGAAGGGACACAAAGAACATTGTGTAAAGAAATATTGGAATCAAAAGATATGGACCCAATGGAATGTATTGGAGCGTTAGCACCAGTAGGTAATTTAACAGATAAAGGAGTCGATGAAGACGACAATTGAAAAAAAATTGAAGGTCGGGATGTGATGTGATCCGTTGCATCACTATCAAGAATCCAAACCTGTGAAAGAAACTGAATTTTGAAAATCAGAAAAATAAGAACTTGTCAGACCTGTAATGTTTGTTTCCACGTGATTGGCAAAGGTGGAACAAAACTTATCTATGATAAAGAGTAGAATTTTGAGATACAGAGAGCTCTCAAACAAAATAATAAAAAAACGACCATAAGCCTAAGAAGAAATCAAATCGTGGTGAAGGTCCAAGAGCTTAATGCTCTGATACCATGTGAAAAGTGATAATCTAATGTATGTTGCTTATGTATTCAGTCATAACCATTACAAAGATATATAGCAAATTATATAGAAACATATATGGGAAGAAGTAATAACTACTGCCTAAACTACAGGGATTGCTGGACTAGAGAAGGAAACAAGATTAGTCAAAGGTCTACAGCAATCTACTCCTATGATTGAGATTTGATATCATTACAAATTTATTACAAAGAGAGGACCATGGAATCCTTCTATGAAAACATTTGCAAGTTGTTCATTTGTATGTATGTACTGCACAATAAGATCTTTGCGCTGACCATGCTCCCCTACAAAGTGAAAATAAATATCGAGATGCTTGATCCTAGAATGATAAACATAATTTGAACTTAGAGCCAAGACAAAGAAATTGTCACAATGCATTAAAGGAGGCTCTGGCAAGAACTCATGTAAATCAGCAAACCTGTCGAATCCATACAATGTCAGTAGCAATATTAGCTAAGGCACGATACTTTTCTTTTGAAGAACTTCAAGCTACTGGTCCTTGTTTCTTTGACTGCCAAGTGACTAGATTATAATAAAAAAACACAATGAAACCTATTGTTGATATTCGAATAAACGGATCTCCAACCCAATCAACATTGCTATAAGCTGTCAACTACATTGGACCAGAAGAAAATGAGATGCCATATTGAAGTGTGACTTGAATATGTAGTAAAATTCTTTTCACAAGATAGAAATGAGACTCTGTAGGATTTGTCATGTATTGGCACATAGTGTTTATTGCATAAGCAATATCAAGCGTTGTGAATGTCCAATACTGTAAAGCTCCTACCAAGTTGCAAAACAAAGTTGAATCTTTCAAAGGTTCACCATTTGTTGTCAGAATTTGAGAATGGGGTTTGCAGGTGTTAAACATGCTTGCTTTAGCTAACAATTCTTTCACATATTTATATTGGTTAACAAAGATAGTTCTAGTGGATGTATAAGAGAATTTGAGTCCAAGAAAGTAAGTAATCCCATATCTTTAAGTTCAAATAATGAGGCCAAATTCTCAATAGTTTCTTGAACAAGAACTATATTTGAGCATGTCAAAATAATGTCATCCATATAGAGCGATAAAACAATGACATCTGAACCTGTATGCTTAATGAACAAACTAGGATCAGAAGTGAGATGCTCTGTATAAACGTGAGAAACAACTCCTTATAAGGCGGACGAAAGATTGGAAAAATTAGAGAGCACCGGAATAGTCCTGCAACTTGCTAGGGTTTTATTGTTTCTACCTTATGTTTTTGCTTATTGCAAATTCAATGACTATGTGTAACTAAGTTTCTTTTGCTAGGGCATGATGCAACCCTAGTATGATAATCTTGTTTTTTTATTTTGCATATCTTTTGATTGTCGTTTGATGTTGGATTCTTAATCACTGTCCTTAATAACTTGATTAATTTTCTCTATGCTTTATCTATTGAGTTGTATTCTAGCTAGTATTCTTTTAGCTTTCCTTGCCAATTTTGTAATAGGACATGTAAGGTATTTCTCAAGCTCAAGGTTATTAGACTAGGTTAAATTTGTATCTAGTTATTTTCCTTTGACTGTGTTCATCAATGGCTCAACATAATCAAGGAATGCCAAAGGTAAATTTTGCATTGCATTCATTAGAATGCATTAGGTTATGACTAGTCAACTTGTATATGTTTGACTAGCATCTTTTGTTCATCATGAGGTCTCCCAGCTCATTTCGTTTTCCAGTTGGGTCCTAACAAATTTTGTCTTATTCTCTTATATTCTTATGCTGCCATCTGTCTGTTTCAAACTTAGGAATTTTGGGTAAATAGTCCCTTCATTCCTTTTGGAGCCGTCACTTCAGTAAATGGATTTTTGAGAGGTTGTGAGTTTCTCCTCCTTTGCTCTCCTCTTCTTTGGAGTGATTTCTCCATCTTTTCATAAATGAGTTTTACAATTTGATTTTGAAAACTACTTTGAAATTTATCTAGCTAAATCAAACACATTCTCATATAGATCTAAGTCGGATTCTATATTGATTTCTTCAAGAGTATGGTTTCTTGAAGAAATTGATCATTTCATTTTGAATCCAAATCTCTCGTTCTTGTTTGGAGTTGAGTTGTGTGAGCTGGTGCCATGGGATGAACGAGCTGAGGAGGAAGCTTCCATTGCCATGAAGAACTAGCTGCAAGCTTTGCTAAGTTTGGAAACGAAGATTGAGGAGGTGTAGCTCATTTCCTAAATAGATTTAGGTTTCCTTGAGCTTGCTTATGATTTCTCTGTAAGAATCTTCTTTGCTTAGTAGATTGCTTGGTCGGATGATGACAACTAGTTTTTCTCAATGATGGGTTTCTGGGTGAACAATTCTATGGGTTTGTTGTTCATGTTTTTTTGATGTTGTATTCTTGTTGTTGACTAGTCATCATTTGAATGTTGCTATATATATATATATATATGATCTCGATGTATATACACACACTACTCACCTTAGTTGTTGCTAGTATAGGGGATGCCTAGATTGACGGGTCCTTCTGAGTGCCAAAATTGTCACTAGTGATCTTCTAAGTTTGCAAGTATTGGCAGTTTCTTATGTATGTATGATTATTTCTAGTTTATGACTAATAGTTGACTAGTCATATTGATATCAGGTTAAGTTCAGATTTGTGTAGTTGGCAAGTCTTTAAAGTAACCTTTAATTTACCAATCTTCACCTAAGTACCAATTTCATGATCACCATTTAGATTTTTAATTGAGTTTATCTTATGAAAATTAGAGTAAATACCATACTTAATTTGAGGCTTGCTTCTTGTGATTAAGATTTGTAATTCTTCTAGTGTAATTATCATACTTCTAGGGATTACATGCTTGTTAGAGTTTTTCACTGATCTTAATTAATGAGTTTCTATATGTTCATATTTGACTTAAATACCACAGGCGAATTGCATGTAGAAATATTTCGGTTCCCTAAATACTGTGAGAGCGATTTTCGTCTCACGGGAATATTCGTCTAAGATTTTGTGAATGTATGGTTTTTGTAATTTTCTTTTGGCTTCCCTTGACAACTTTGTAATAGGATTTGTATTGTTATTTATCAAGCTCAAGTTTAGATTAAGAAAAGCTTCTCTTGGTGTTCTTATCTAACTTCTGTTCTATGGAGGTTCAAGCAAATTGACAAAGGTAAATTGTGCATTGCATATCATTACATTAAACTGTCTTTATAAAATGATGACTAGTCATCTGTTTCTCATATGACTAGTCATCCTTGCTCTGTAGGATTTCCAGCTGGATAACAAACTGTTTTGTCCTATTCTCCTTTCTCTCTCTGCTGCCATGTGTGTTTCTGACCTAAGGATTTTTTTTGGTCTGTAAAGACTACGGATGTGCACATTTGGCAGCTGTCTCTTTTGGGTGGAAGTTTTGTAAAGATTGGCTTGCTATCTTTTTCTTCTTCTTCCTCAAGAGAGAACCAAATATTTCATCT